CCTGCCCCTCGACTAGGGGAGAGCCGAGCATCGTATTAGCAACAAGAAGGACTTGGGAAGCCATCAGCAAATGAAGGTAGTATAGCTGCTTGGTGCAAAGAACAACAAAGGGCCACTTGATCAGTTTTATATTGCTGCCTGAGAGACCGAGTGGCTTCAGACAACCACGACTTATTATCTCTCATGAATCTGTGGGTCACTGGGCGGCTCCTCTGCCACTTTAACCTGGCTTGCTCACACAGTTGCATTTGGTGAAAGGCAATCAGGTTGGAAGGTCCGAGATGGTCACACTCACACGTCTGGAAGTGGATACTGGCCGTCGGCTGCACCTTCTTGCTCCTTCTCCACGTGACCTCTCAGCCCTTGAAGGACTAGACCTATGCATTCAGGGACAGTACAGGACAATGTTCCAAGAGAATGAAGGCAGAAGCTTAAGCCTGGACTGTGGAACTCATAGGTCTCTTCCAGCACATTCTATTGGCTGGAGTAAGTCAACAAGGCCATCTCAAGTTCTAGGGAGTGAAGAAACAGATTGCACTGTGCGTGGAAGGAATGACCAGGGCACGCTGCCAAAAGTATGTATTCTAGGGAGAGAGCACTATGTAGCCACTAAGCCATCAACCAGTGCCATTAAAACAATTTTATTTTCCTCATATATCAAGAATAATAATACCTAACTTCTAGGGTTATTACAATAATTAAATGAAAAAACATATTTGAAAAGCACAACATATAAAAAACACTTGGTGAAAGGTACTTATTATTAATGTCATTAAGGACTAAAGTTATAGGTGTCCCTCAAAGGAAAGTCTCTTGCTCTAAAATACTGTGTTAACCTGTTTTCCTTGGTAAGAAGCTGCAGGACACATGAGAAAAAACTGAGTTTTGTCATATTTTTAGGGTAAAATCTTGCTTGTCCCTTTCCTTCCGTAAGTTCCAAAATGCGAGGGGAATAGAGGATTGAACACATTGGAATTGTAATTTGATTTGCCTTCCCTTTTTTGTGTTTAGTATGTGCAGTGTATTGGTCAGCGTCTAGTCAGCCAAACAGAAGTTACTATATAATTTCAAGTAGAGGGGACTTAACATAGGAAGTTGGCTACAAATGTGTTGAAGGGCAGGAGATGAAAACAAGGGAAGTCGAGATCTTTCAGAGTTTAGTACCTGCAGGAAGACGCTACCCATCTAAGGCTGACTGAGCAAAAAAACGACAAAAAAAAAAAAAAGGTGTTATCTAGAGTCCACGTTTGCACCTTTACTGAGGCGGCTGGCTAACCCACCGCTCCTTTCTGTTGTTGGAATATTTTTTGGAAGCTGGGGGGCTGAAACCCCACCCCATGGCTGATGGCCTGTCTCTGATGCTCTGCTAGCCGAGCCGGAGCTGGAGCCCAGGAAGGCTCTGCTGTGGAAGCTGCCGGAGCGCCCCCTGCTTCCACTGCTACTGAAATTGGGCCACCTGAGCACGACTCAACAGGTACCACTGTGACTGACACTGCCAAAGACTTCAGAAAACATTAAAAAAAATTAGCTTCTCACTTCCACCTGCCTTTCCCCTGTGTCCCTCATTGGTAGAACCTCATTGGCAGCTAGCTGGCTGGGGAGTCTGGGAAATGTATTTTGCAGGCTTCCAGCCCCCTGTAGAGAGGGGCAGGGAGAGTGGGAATGGAGCTCAGTTATCGCCCAGCCAGTGTCGTGTGTGCTGTACACACAGATGTTTCAGAGGGTGCTGCTCCTGTGTGTGTATCTCCAGATGTTTTCTATTCAAGTTTGTTTGAAACAAAGAGAACATATGTTTAATGTTTCAAAACTTCTAATAGAATGCTATCACATCACATTTAACCATCTGATGATCAAGCCCGTCTTCCTCCTGGCCATTTATCCCTTTCCTCCCTGGGCTTGCAGGGATGTGTAAGTTGGCAGAAATTCACTCTGCTTTGCAAAATGCCAGTGGTGTCTTTCCAATTTGCGTCTTATCCACTGGAAAGTGCTTCATTAAATACCTGATGAATATACATGTTTTATGGAGCAGCTGATGCAAAGGGATGGCAGATTTCCTTTTTCCCCCTCAAAGGACCCAAAAGATGCTCTTGGTTTCCCCTTCAAAACTGTTCATAAATCTTTACCAATGATCGCACATGGAGGGAAGCAGAATGTGCCACCCCAAATATGACTGTAGGAGTTCCGGACATGCCACCCCATAAGATGTTTCTTTGGTAAGTGGATTATTTTGAGTTAAAAGCAATTGCAAGGAGAAGCTTTCTCTGAACTCCCGTTATTGGCCTAAAGACAGAACCTCACTTGTCATCAGTTCCTCCCTGGGAGTTTCATCGTTGGGGAAGATTGACTGTTGTCACAGGAGAGAGGCCTAGAAGTTGATACCACACCCAGACATACCATCACAAACTGTCACACCTCCCGCTATCCTTCCGAAGTCTCATTCGTCTTTCCTAAAAATCATTTGCTCTCTCCTAAGAGGTGTACGTCCCTCCTGCCCTTTCCCTATGAAGATGGCATTTAAGCCAGAATTCTGAGTCACTGCTTTGAGTTACTCATTTTTCTCTGGGTATCTCTCACATATACATAAGGAGCACATTCATAAAATTCTGTTTGCTTTTCTTGGTAATCTGTCTTACATTACAAGGGTCTCAGTGAAGAACTCAGAAGAGGAGAGGGAAAATTGTTTTTCTTCCCATATGAAATCTGCTAGATCCATGCTAATGCAAGTTTATTCTACTGAACTAGCAATGACTGTCTCTCATGAAACAAGTCACTTCCTCTTGAGACCTGAGCCCTGAGTTCATTGGACTCTTTGTGCATTTTCTCTTAGTCTTATGGAGCCTGATTTTTCCTTCCTGGGCTCAAGTCATGCTGCCATCTGCAAGACAGGCCTTGAAGAGGGGAAGAATGGGAGCATGTGACAGCACAGAGCCACTCTGACAAACGAGGCATGGTCAGGGCTCAGGGGAAACTCCATCCCTATCCTGGAATTAGCTTCACAGTTGAAATCAGGTCACCCTGAACAGCAAGCGCTGTCATAAAGATGGAAGGTGAAGCAAGAATTGTTTTGGAAGTCACATTCAAGTGAGCCTCCATACCTGGCTGAGTCACACAATGGGGCCCCACCCAAGGCCATGACGGGACGCAGCTGTGTGGGGGGCATCTCGGTGTGCAGGGGTGACATATTACCTGAAGATGGAGACCAGCATTTACCGAGTTTCTGCTATGTAACAAGCATGTCTATTGCTTTCTTATTTTAATCCAGAAAATGATCTTATGACGTTATCAGCTCTTTAGAGACGGAGAAACTGGGGGAACCTCCCATCTGGGAAGCAATCAGCCAGAGTCACTCACTGCCCTGTCTATTCCTGCACATGGATATGGGCAAATCCCTCTGCCTGGCTCCCCCTGAAAGAGCAGAGGACAAGTAACCATCACTGAGCTTCTGTCATGTGCCTGGGCCTGTCCTATGTGTTTGAGTCTTCTTAAGTATTCTGAAGGGTAGGTATTGGCACCCCTATTTTACAGGGTAGGAACATAAAGCCAAAGGTCATAAATAGGTACAGAGCATTTGAAGCCAGGTCTGACTTACTCCAAAGCCATCTTGCTTCCATGACCCCAGCAGCCTCCCAGTGCATTTTGGGAGTTCGGATGTAAGCCTCTCAAATCAGGAGGATGCTGGGCAGAAGACAAGAGCACCAGATGCCTGGTTTGGACAGAAGCAAGTGGAGGCAGCAAGGAGAGGCACGCCTAGGGTCTGGGATGGCATGCACTTGTCAAAGTATCTCACTCTCTGTGTTCCCTCACCCCTGCCAGTGTCTCACAGAGGTTGAGGAAGGCCTGGGCCACTTCTTTTACTTTTTTCCAGAACCCAGTGTAAGTTTGAAATAAGGGGTCTCCCCCCACAGCAGGCCCCTGTGCTGCCATTCCCTCTGCCCACACCCCGATCTGCCAGGCTCCTGGGAGTAAGCTCCTTTCATTGTACACAAGGACTCCCTTCTCAAAAGGTTGTAAATCCAACTGGGCAGGGTTCAAGCCTGGTCTTCCGTTAGTATCCCTAAAGACCCATTCCATCGCTGTGTACCCAAGGGAGCCTATAAATATCTTCTGACCAACTGAAAAAAAAACTCATTAACTTTAAAAAGAACCCCAGCATTTTAGGAAATGGGTGGCCACTCAAGTCAATTTTACGGGCTCACTTCAGGATTTGCAAGGAACAGTATGAGCCACTACAAAACATGACAGAGTCCATGGCATTCAGCAGCATGAAAGAAGTAAACCCTAAATATATATTTCCGTTTTCCAAAATCTCTTTCTTTCAAAATTTGGTGTCATGGGAGAGTACTTCCTGCCTCAGCAGCTTCTAGTCATGTCCTCACCCTACACACCCTGCTCTGCTCCGAAAAAGAACAAAACAAGAAGGAAAAAAAAAAAAGAAAAAAGAAATCTTGTGCTTTTGGGAGCTTGCTGGCTAAAAATTCCTTCCATCTCAACACTGTGTCCTCCTAACCTAGTTCTATTAATGATCGTAGTGGTCAGAAGCTTCACACATTGAAGCCAAACAGAACTTAGAAACAGAGAGACAGAGAAAGAAAAAATAAGATGGTCTGAGGCCATAAACACGCTATGTTAGCCTAGTTTTCCATTCTAGGTGCACATCACCTATAGAAAAATGTTTTAGACACCAATTTCCATAAAACCGTTACTGGGAAGCAACCAACACGGGGTGGGGATGGGGGTCCTCTCGGCAAGGAATTTGACTCTGTTCTTGGTATTTCTCATCCAAGCACATTTTCAGCAGGTGATCATTCAAGCAATAATGGTGCCGTCCAGTTTTACCACAGCTACAAGACAGATCATCCCAAGAGTCTGAAAAATATATATATCTGCATTGATGTTTTCTTAGGGGTTTTTAAAGACAGATTGCTTTATGGCACTCAGTGAGCTCCACAGGCGTTTTCTAAATGTTGCTTCCCTGCCTTCAATGTTAGTTCCTCTTTCAGAGCTGAAGCCGTAAGCGCTGCTGCAGAAATGACCTCCTCCCACTGTTCTGGCGTCTTCGGCTCTAAGGAGGGATGAGTGGATGGATGTGGATGGCACTGTGACTCTGGGCCCAGAAGCCTGCGCTCGAAAGAGCTACGTGAGTTCTCAGCAGTGTCAGATTTCTAGTGACTCAAGAACACTGCCCCACCCCAACCCCAGAAATTTGGGGAAACATCTCCTGCAGTGTAGAGTGATAGCAACTCTCCCTCCTCCAGTGCAGGCACTGGCCACAGCCTACAGGAAGGAAGTCACAACCTAAAAATAAAATTTGCACTTAAGCATTCGGCCAACATTTAAATCTTAATCTGAAGTCTCATTATGCTCAACGTGGAGCTTCACAATGTCATAAACAGTCACATGGATATCCAGACACCTCCGACCATCTCCTGAGGCAGAAGCTCCCTGGGAGAGCTGCCCCCGCAGAGCCAGTGGTTTTGCCCTGTGCTGAGAAAACCTGCCTGTGGCTGGATTTGAGTCCCACCCCCACACTCCCCTATGTTGCTGCAATGTCCCTCTGCCTAGTGGTGAATTCCCCAGGCGTCATGACAGTGTCCTGGACCTCCTCAAGTTCTGCCTGATTTGGAGTCTGCAGCTTGCCTCCTAGGCACTAACAACAGACGCAGGAGCTTGCCACTGAGTCAACGGACCTTCCTGGGAGTTTCTGCTCTTCCACAAACCCCCCAGGTAGACGCTGCCTCTCTGGAGGCCCTTGGGCATGGTCTGGCTACACCAGTGCCCAGAGCAGCCAGGAGGGGATTTCAGGGTCTCCACCCAGAGAGAAAGTGGCTTTTATTATATTATTATAATACCTTAAAGTGAATAAACTTCTTCAGACTGACCTTCAGTTAAAGATCTGCTCCAACTTCTGAAATAAATATTTATTTTCTTTTTTTTTTTAGATCACTTCCTGGTCACAGCTGGGACTCATTCGGATCACTGAGTCCTTTTGTAATTCCCTGGTTGACCTTCCTGCCTCCCCAGTGCCTCTCCCCTGATGGTCAGGCTCTGTTCCCCAGAGGTCAGTGTGAGGCCGATGGCAGAGCCATCTGGCCCCTGGGTCATGGGAAGTCATCGTTTAAGTCCACTGATCATGTGTGTCCATAAGAGGTCTCTACCTGTAGTCTGATGTTTCATTAGACACGTTATTTTTCTGAATGCAGTCTCCAACTCATTAACTCATTGCACCATACAAACAAAACTGAATCAGACACCTAGCCCTAGATCTGCGTTCAAAAATTATTACTCTGTGACTCTTCATAGACTCATAGTCTTCACAGACTTCATACTCCCACCCAGGCTTCCCCCCAGCCCCTGGCTTATGCAAGCTGTGCACTTGTTTGCTAACTCCAGTAAGTTCTTTCTAGCCTGGTTTTGCAGAGTCCTCCCCCTGCCAGTGTTAGACGCTGCATAAACAACCTTATCATTTGGCAGTGATTTTTAAAACCATGCCAGTCCTTTTCTTTGCCCTTTGCTCCCCTCAGCCCATACTGTATTGACCCAGTGCCAGCTTCTCTAGCTTTTCTCCAGAGCATTGTCCTGGAATACAGTACAAGGAAAAATACCACCTGTGAGTCTGCTACACTATTGGGATGATTGGAGTTAAGTGGCTCATGGAGATCATTTCTCTTGTCGTATTAAGTGAAGGCCAAGGTCCACTGTGCTTCCTGCCTCTCCTTGAGAACACCGAGGCCAATATCATTCTCGCTGCACAGCTTAATATCAGACACCCTGAAAGCAGGTGGGTGTGGGGCACAGTATTTGCTGAACCGCCTGGCAAACAAATATTTGCACCTACGGCCTGCTGCACGGGTCTGAGCTGAGGACGCTGCCCAGCACGAGGTACCGCCACCCTGCTCGTCTCCTGCCTTCAACAAGTCTGCATCACACCGGGTTTAATGCAGCTTCCTCTAAAGCCTTCCAAAGAAGGCTTCAAAAATCTCCTCAATGTGCAATTTAAATCCAGTTAACGTAACAGTTCAGTCTGTGTCTGATCAGCACTTACTAATCCATGGCGTGCAACTCTTTTTTAAATTATTATTTTCTGAATGAATTAGTGGAAAAAGTGGCCTGTACCCTCTTCCTAAGCCTGGTAGAGTGCCTCCTGGTAGAGTGCTCACCAGCGCCGCCTCCTTTATGCCCCCTTCCCTTGCAGGAGAAATTCGGTGAGTGCTGGCTCTATCTTGCTTGGTGTGCAGAAAGAAAAGGGCTTCCCATTCTCTGTGGAAGTGAGAAGTCCCCCGGCATCCCGCCTTCTTGTCCAGGTTGTATGGCCGCAGTTTCCTGATCGACTTTGTGGCTCTCCTTTGAACCCTCTTAAGGACTTGTTTCTCCACTGACACGCGGCATGCCTGTGGCCCAGATGTGCAGCCGTCACCGAGTTTACTGCTGTGTGAACAGCGGGCAAAGGGCAGGACTGTTGGAAAACTCCTGTGATGAATGTGCAGCCTGGCTGGAACAAAAGCCAAAGCCAGCCCTCGTCCAGGAGGCAGAATGTACCCAGGGCATGAGCAGGGGTGGAAGCCCACGCAGAGTGGTCTGGGCGAGCTCGGGGAGGAGGGGCCTGGGGCCGCACCCCGGGCTAGGCGGCTGCAGCGCATTCCCACAATGGGTGTCACCTTCCAGTGCAGAGGGAGGATCTGAAGGGCGGAGGGGAGAGAAGCAGGGAAGGGGAGAGGAGGGCAGAACCTAGAGGGTGAGGAAGAAGCAGGGCTCTAAGCAATAAGGGGCTCCAGGCTGAGAAATGGGTACACGCTCATTGTACTCAACAGCAAGCAGCAGGTCTAGTGCCTGGGGGGGCGCGGCACACTTCGTTAGTGAGGTCCTTTTCCTCCATGTCCGTGCCAGGCGCAGGCGTTCACATCATCTGAAGGACCCTGGCTGGAAAAATGGGGAAACTATGCATGTCTACAACCTCCTCTTCTGTATTTTTATTTTCTCCAAAGGGTTCAACACAACAAAATCACAGGAGGCTGTTCTGAAGGGGAAATGACCCGGGCGAGGCAGCGTGAGGGCTGCGGGAGGAAGCTGCCCTGAATGTGGAATAAGCAGAGGAGCGCACTGCCTCCTGCAGGAAGCTTCTGGAAGCCCCGAGTCCAGGGCCGCCTCGGGGGAGGGCTGCTGCCTCTGGCCATCGGGTACCCTGAGCCGAACCCAGCCCGGGAGGGACGCCCCGTGCTCCTAGGGCTGCACTGTTCTTCCCCCTGCCTCTCAGTCCTGACGGCTCAGCTCAATGCCGCCTCCCGCAGGAGGGCTTCCCCCCACCCCACCGCGCCCCCTGTGTTTGCACCCCTAGCACTCACCGCTCCCACCAGTTTCAGCCTGCCCTCGCTCAATTTTTCCAAGCAGATCAACAGTTTGAAGCAGTGAGCAGCAAGGGCCTTTGGAATTAAATAGAAAGTCTTAGCACTAAATGAACACTTTAAGAACGAAAGAACACCTGAATATCTTGCAAAGTGTCTTCCATTAGTGCGGCCAGGAGCTAATTTCGTCATGTCCGGGGACTGGCCTTTCCAGGATGTCTGGGCAAGTTGGAAATGGAGACGAAGGATCTGGAAAGACATTTCCCCCAGTGTTTAAAAGGAAATGATTGGCCAAGAAGGTTCTCTCTGGATGATATTTTTAATTTTAATGAAACAGGTCACTATCAGAAACAAATGCCCTTATGAGCATTCCATTCTCACAGAGAGAACACAAGCCCAGGGGGTAAAGCTGCAAAGGATGGACTGGCTGGTGTAGATGCAATGCCAGGGAGACTTAGTGAATGGACATTTTTATTAGCATTGTTATTGTTTTTATTAGTGCTCTGGCATGATCTGTCCCAACGCTATTTTTCCCAGAAGCCCGATTATTTTTCATGCTTGATTTTGCAGACATAATGTTTTTTTTTCTTTTTTAGGGGCGGGGGTGTTGGAAGGAACATGCATAGATGGCACTAGAGCAGAAACCTCAGTATTTGGCAATTGACTATTGACCTCTGACACTATTATCTAGATTCTTGTTTCACTTAATTTTGTCATTTGTGTTTATCTCCCATTGCTGTGGTAACAAATTACCATAAGATTAGTGACTTAAAATGACACAATTTGTTATCGTACAGTCTGAAGATCAGAAGTCCAAAGTGGGTCTTACTGGACTAAAATCAAGGTGTAGGCAGGGCTGTGTTCCTTTCTGCCTTTCCCTCTCACATTTATAAGGACCCACGTGATTATACTGGGTCCAGCAGGACACCCCACAGTAATCTTCCCACCTCAGAGCTTCAACTAACTACATCTGCAAAGTTCCTTTTGTCATGTAAAGAACATATTCACAGTTTCCCAGGATTAGGATGTGGGCATTTTAAGGAACCCATTATTCTGCTACCACCCCATCACTGACCTTTCTGTGTGTGTGTACTTTGCACCCTGGTTAGACTGGAAGCTCATTGGCGCGGGGAAGGGTCTGTTTCCTTGTCTTTTTATTGCCCACAGCAATTACCCAATTCAGATCCTCAGAGGCTATTTTTATATTAACTTTCTTTCCTTCCTGATTCTTGTTTTGAATGACTATGTGCTCCAGATACGGGTTGTGTTGGGTAGCTTACGTTCTTGCTAGGTATTGGAGGTACAAGCATGATTAAATATGGCCCCAGTTTTCAATAAATTTGCCTTGCAAAATTTTCAAGATGACTGGTCAGCATGCAGGGTGTAGGCTTTTTAAAATATGAATAACACAAGCAGCAAAAAGATAAAAACAAGTGCAATGCCGGATCCAGCACAACTTTACAAAGCGGGAAAGGAGCTGGAATGAACAGAGAAGACAAGCAGGGAGAAAGACAGTCGCACTGGCTCCATTCTCTCTACGTTTTTAATAAGGTCATGGGAAAACCAAAGCGGTGGGGAGGGGCCAGATAGAGTGTGCAAAATGTAGTCGTATAAAATGAGAACCCAAAGGATAGCAAAGTAAGTTCATGCCTCAATGTATCGGAAGAGCAAAGGAGTGCTCCCCTTATTTAAAGTGATACAAATATAATTTAAAATGTGGAGTAGCTCCGCGGGGGAGCGGCAGGACAGGAGGGCTAAAGCAAGAGGGCTTCCGGGTCCTCTGCTGTGTCAGTCAAATGCTCAACCAAATTCAGGCTCTGCCCACACGTTGCGCGAGGCTTCAAACGCTGTACCACAAATCCCCTCACAGCCTCTACAAGCAGAATCCCTTGTGGCAACCAAAGGTGAAAAGATCACCTCTTCCAGCCAGGCTCTCCTAGAACCTTGCCACCCATCTGTCAAGACACAGAGTCGAATTCTTTTTCCCTTGAATCTGGGCAGGGTTGTAATTCCATTGCGGCTGATAGACTGCAGTAGAAATGATGGTGCATGTGCATGACCTCCAGGGCATAAAAGGCCACTGAGCTTCTGTCTTACTGCTGAAGCCACTTGCACTTGGAGCCCTGAGCTTCCGTGTCAGGAGGTCAGGCTCCCTGAAGCCACCTTACTGTGAGAAAGCCCCTCCGAAGTAGGGGAGTCTTCAGACAGTCTTAGCCCCCCATTGCTGGGTCATCGCCAGCTGGCTAGGCCCCAGATCCCATGGAACAGAGGCGAGCCATTCCTGCTGCCTGAATTCCAAATCCATAGGATCTGTAAGCATCCTGAGATAGTTGTTGCCAGCCACTAAATTTTGGGCGTTATACTTCTTAGGCAGCATTAGTAACTGGACCACCAGGTCTGAGCAGGACACATATTTTCACTAAATTTACTATTTGGGAGTGTTCCTGAATCAGAGTTATGAGTATAACCATTATGTTATCAGACAGACTCACCTCCAGGAAAGCTAGCGGACAATTAGTGGCTACTTTGGAGTCTCAGATCCACTGACCGATGAAGAACACGATCGCTATCAACTCTAAGAGTTATTTTGCTTGAAGCAAGGAAAAACATTTTGGGGGAATAAAACACTTTTCTAGGAGAGAAAAACTGGTGCCTAGACACTAATGGAAAGAGGCGCACACACACACACACACACACACACACACACACACACACACACACATTCCTGCCCAGGATCCTCCCGGGGTGAGCTGCCCTCCTGGCATAGGAAGACCACCCCCAGCTGAGGCAGGAGTGGTCCCTGCAGTGGGAAAGCAACAAAAGAAACTTCTCAGACAGGTTAGGGGTTCCAGTCAGTCCTGGAAAAAATCCTTTCTGTTGCTTCTTATATACGTCTTTTTATGCCAAACTGTGGGTAAGATACACACACACACACAGCTGACAGTGGACAGGACTTCCGGGGATAGGATAAAGTAATTGTTGCTGGGAAGAAAAGGGAAGTGCTCCCTTCCGGTGAGTTTTGCCTTCTGTGGCTGCCCTGTGAGGAACTTGGCCAACTTCCCCATCCGAGAAGTCTGTGTGCCAGGCCGATAACAGGAGATTAATCCCCACCCAAGTGGCTGAAGTGACAGTGAGCTGTGCCTCCACCAGACCCTTTCTTCTATGGGGAGGCATTGAAATGACACACAAAACCCAGGAGATTTTTTCATATTGCCTTAACAGTTAAATAGTCACCTATAGATACTGTTAAGACACTTAGGAATTCAAATGATTACTGTTTGAACTATTTTTTTTCTTTGCCTAAGACATCTGAACAATTCTCCACAAACCAGGATGAGAATATAAAGTTCTTAGATTTTCTTTCCCAATTAAATTAATTCACCAGTGAATAATTAATGAGCAGGTAACTCCCAAACCGTTTATTTGGACAAAGAAATTCTAGCAAAGAGCCTTTAAAAATCTGTAGTAAATGGATGTTTCCTTCTGTATGAGCTTGGGTTTATTGTACATTATTAATCTACTCAACATTCAAGGCTCCAGAGTTAAATTTTAAATATCAGGCTTCCTTCTTCTTGTCCTGAATGGTGTAAACATGAACTGAATGCTGGTTTAACATACCTTGGTCTTACTAATCACCCTCAATAACCTGGTCACTCCATAGCCAAAACTCCAGCATACCTGGGCTGACATTCTGGGAAAAGTCAATTACAAAGCCTCTTGCCTTAGTTAAGATGGTGCTAGCTGCTGTCACATGTAAACCCCAGAACCTCAATGGCAACATATCATTTCTCTAGATGAAATATAAAACTTTATTTATGAGATGTATTTCCCACCCAAGTAGGGTCCAGTTGACATGAGGCAGGGAAAGGCAGATCCCAGCTTTACATACAACCCAGCCGTGATCCCAGCTGACAGAGACAAAGCCACCCTCGGTGCATGACTCACAACGCTGCCCATGCACTGCCATCCAGCCAACATACAGGACAGAGAGAGTGAAGGAATGCACGGGAGCCTTTCACGTGCCAAGCCTGGAAGCATTTACACTACGTTTGCCCACGTCTGATAGCTAGCATTAGTCACCGGGCCCAAGTTAGGTGCAAGTGTTTTGGGGAAATGTCATCCACTTCCCAGCAAAACAGAAGGGAACACAGAAAACACTTCTGTACATATTCCATTTGCTGTATGGATTCTGCCATCCCCA